AATAGTCCAGACCTTTGCCCACTTGTTTTTTTTTTTTACTTTAAAATCAAATGGACCTCATGTAGATCATGAATATGAACCCCTTGTCAGCTGTATCAAGTGTAGTTTCTAATGTTAGTAGAATGTCTTCTGAATCTATATTTTTTCATTGTGTTAAAACTTTTTAATTTGAAAAATTCCAACTGTTCATTTTTACTTTTATTTCTCTTGCTGTAGGAGTCCAGTTTCCAAAAACATCTTTAGCATTGATGCCATAAAATGGATCACATTTTCTTCTATGTCTTATTATTGTACCCTATTGTTAATCTAGGTTTGGTATATCTGAGACTTTAATCCATTTAGAGTTTATTTTTGTGTATTGAGTTAATGATCTGGGTGTCAGGATGGCTGAGTGGTCTAAGGTGCCAGACTCAAGCTAATGATCCAACTTCATTCTTTCTTTTACAAGTAGCTATCTAATCTCCTAGCAGCATTTGTTGAAGTCTCTCTCTTTTGCTTTATGATGAATTAAGTATTGAGATTTTTTATGCACACACACACACACAAATATATTCTGGACTTCTGGTCTGTCCCATTGATCCTGTGTCTATTTTTATGCTAACACCCTATTGTTTCAATTACTATTGCTTTAGAGCATATGAAAGGTGATGGGATATCTCTATTTTTCTTTTTTTCTCAGGGTTACTTTAGTAAAATAAAACCTTTTTATGGTGCATTATGAATTTTAAGGTATCTTATTCAACTTTTAAAAGGATATTGCTGGGTTTGTAATGGGGATGTGTTAAATGTATATATTCCTTTTGATAGGCAGTTCAACTATATTGATTCTCCCCATTCATGAGTATGCAATATCTTTCCATTTCTGTATATCATGATCTTTTAATAGTCTGGTAGTTTCCACTGAATATATCCTTCACTTAATTCCTAACATTTGGTCTTTTGATGTGACTGTGGATGAAATTATCTTAATTTCTTTTTCTTTTCATTCAGATATACAAAAATGCAACATTTTGTATGTTAATTTTGTCAGCTGTCACTTTACTGTATTCATTTATTCTTTTTAATAACTTTGATGAAGGCTTTAGTTTTTTTTTAAAGATTTATTTATTTATTCACACAGAACTGGGGTACAGGCCAGAGATGCGGAAGGTGAGAGGATCCACCAGGAACAGAGTGGAGAGCAGAACAAGCAAATCGACGAAGTACACTGCTGAGGGGAGCAGAGGGCAGGTCAGGAGAGGTCTGCCACACCATGTGGACCTCCTCCTGGGCAGGTGGGGATTGAACTCATGCGGAAGTGGCTTAAGCTTCTTAGTGCAGTGCTTTAACCCGCTGTGCCACCAGGGAGGGCCAGGCTTTAGATTTTTATATTGTAGTGTCTTATCACCTGCAAATACGAATAGCTTCATTTCTTCTTCACCAACAAGGATTCTTTTTGTTTACTATTCTCTGATTGTTCTAGCTAAAATCTCTAACACATTAAACTAAGATGGTGGTGGCAGTGGATATCCTTTTTTTTTTTTGTCCCTGATCTTAAAGGAAAAGCTTTAAGTTTTTTTACCATTCTTACATTGGTCATAGTTTTGTGATAGATGCCTCTATATGTTGAGGTAGGTGCCTTCTATTGTGTCTATAGATTTTTCAACCATAAGTGGGTACTGAACCTTATTAAATGCTTTCTTTGCATCCATTGATATTTCAATGACTTTTATCTTTTCTTTTGTTGATATGTTACATTGGCATGTTTATTAACCACTTACACTCCTCAGATAAATCCCACTTGATCATAATGTATAATCCCTGAACTATACTGCTCAACTAGATTTGCTAGTATTTTGTTGAAAATTGTAGCATGAATACTCATCAGGCACATTGGTCTGTACTTTTCTCATGCTGACTTTATTTAGCATTGGTATTAGGATAATGTTGGCATTATTAAATGTATTAGGAAATATTCTCTTGATTTTTAGCAGTATTTGAACAGGAGGGATACAATCTTTAAATAAAAAAAAAAGTTTGGTGAAAATAATAAACTTTTGTTTGGGAAAGAGTTTTGATCACCTTTAATTTCTGATTGTGGTAGGTTTATTCTAATCTTCTGTTTCTTTCTAACTTACCTTAAGTAAGCTATCTTATTCTAGAAATTTGTCCTTTTCTTCAAGGCTATTGAATTTCTTGTTGTACAGCTGTTCATAGTGATTTGTTATGGTCTTTTGTGTATCTTGATTATCTGTGGCAATTTCTCTTCTTTCAGTTCTATTTCTATTAAGCTCTGTCCCCCTCTCTCTCATTAATAATCCATTAGTATTTCTTTCATGTGTGGCATGAAAGATTTTTAACTTTTGCTTTCCAGTGAAGTTCCTTGCTCTTTTGTCTTGAACGTTAATCTTAATGGTATGATACTAATTTTAATGTGTCTTAGAGTATAACATTCTGGTTTACTTTGTTTGGAACTCTGGGTTTCTTGGATCAGGACATCTGCTTCATTTTCCACATTGAGATGGTTAAATAGTTCTCATAAATTATTCAGTCAAATTTGCTATGCCTATGTCTTCCTCTTTTCCTTCTGGAACCCCCATGATACAGGTATTATTTCTCGTTAGGTTTCCCCGAAGAGTTCACACAGTTTTCATTTTTAAATATTTCTTTTCCTATTTGTTATTCTATTTATGTGTTCTCTTGCTACTGTGCCTTCAAGATTGCAGATTCTTTCCATTACTTGCTTTTGTGTACTACTGAGGCCTTTGATTATACTTCTAAATTTATCTACAGTATATTTAGGTCTTGTAAATCTCATGTCTCCATATGTGTTGTTTTCTTATCCATTGTTTTTAATTCAGCAAGCAAAGAATTCTTAAACTCCTCATCAGGCAAATTCTAGTTTTGCTGGATTGAGTCATCATTCAGATATTTTCTTCCTCTAGCATCTGCAATGTTATTATGTCGCTTCACTTCTAGTTTCTGTGGTTGCATTAGGGAGTTTTCTTAACTTGATAAATAGGCTTTATACCCCCTTACATGAATCTGGTATAAATCCAGGTTTTCTACCCAAGATCTTCACGTCTATTATTTCATAGACTGATGCCTTTATACCTTTTCAGACTGCCACGTTATTGGTGCAAAGAAGGGGTAATATGTAGGAAGAAACCAGGGAAGTGGGGTACAGAAAGGCTACCTCCCGTGAGCATCAAAGGTTCAAGTGTCCTAGTTTTAAATGTTGCAGATACCCAAATGTGTGGTGGGGATTTAGTGATTCCCTTCCCAAAGCCACCTCTTAGTCCAAATATCATAAACACTGACAGCCTTCATGTCTAGGCTGTGGCTAAGATGGAACAGTCTGTGGTGATAACTGAGAGAGGGTCACAAGTCAGTAATTGTTTTCTTTGCTTTTCTGAACAAGGAGTCTCACTTTGAGTCCCTTGTGTCTCTTGTTATGATCTAGGTGCTTCAATCTCTGATTAATAAGAGCACTCAAGTATTGTCTTGGTCTTGGTCCTAGTGGGGGGTAAGGCAAATATTTTCACATATCACCACCACAGTGTGCAAATAATAGCCTCTTCTTAAGAGGAGATGCAGAGCAGATAATCTGATCTGGTTGTTCCACCAGATCTATTCTAGTTTGAGGGTGACACGTTAAGCACCCTTGTCTCTGTAGTTCTCCAGGGGTGAACCCTCTGTTCTACACAACTCTATGCACCCTCTTCTCCAGTGGAAACTCTGGCTTTTAATATCCCCAAAGTAGGTGTGTGTTAACAGTAGAGCGGTTCCTGATGGCAACTGCCCCTTCCCGTCATGACTTACATTGCTCCAGTATCACTAGAAATGATTTAATTTTTCCCCCTCCCCTTCTGTTGTGCTATTGTTGTTGATGTATTCAATAATCATTCGTCATCAAAGGCTTTTGTCTTTGGTATCATTTCGGTTGAATTTATCATGAATTATCAGAGGAGAGCTGGTGTCTTCTTCACTCTGCTGTCATCTTGCAGGCTACGCAGAATGTGCACTCAAATTTTAAGTGCAGGATACAACGTTAACTATGTACACACTGTTGTACAGATCTTTACATTTTTTTCATATTCACCAATAAAACACTGAATCTAATGAGTAGCAACTCCCCATTTTCCTATGTTCTCAACTGTCAGCAACAACGTTTATATGAGTTTTATTAATTTAGATAACTCATATAAGTGGAATCATGCAGTATTTGATCATCTGTGATTGGTTTATTTCTCTTACCATGATGTACTTCAAGGCTCATCAACTTGGTAGCATATAACAAGACTTCATTTGCTTAAATCTAAATCAAAAAGAGAAGCTTAACAATGAAAACATTTTAAACTCTTGGGTTCGGTCCATAAAGTTGGGCTTCCAACATAAACAGCATCACTTTAAATAATGCTTAAGGTTTTAAAACAAGAAACTATGTAAAAATGTGATCACTGCTGCTAATTGGAGATTAATGATAATGAATTCTCTATAATTATCGCGGTTTTTTTTTTTTTTCATTTATTTATTGAGCCAAAATAGTCCTAGAGTTTGTGGGGTAGCCCCCTATAGACAGTAAGGAACTGAACTAGCCCAGGATTCACCAAGGGAGGTAGCAATGGTAAGGCAACAACGTTACAAAGTCCAAGTTCCAAAGTTCCGCCCTAAATTTTATACATTTCACACGTCCATTAGTCATTCGTGTGTTTATGATTACGGGACCTTAGACAAGTTGCCAAGTTCGCGCTTCAAACGCACACTGGTTTCACAGTAGGTGAACCGCGAAAACAGACAGCCAGGGTTGGGGCGGTGGGTTGAAACGCTTCCCATGACGCGCACTTCCTCTTGGTGTCCCAGTTCCCGTGAGACGACAGCGCCGCTCACCCGAAAGTGTCCAGGGCTCACAGCCAGCACACACCACGCGAGCGCGGGGACCCCCAACCGGAAGTTGAATGAGAAGGACAACCCTGAGGGAGGCCACCAGCCCAAAAGAAGGGAAGGGTTAAGGCTCTTACCCAACTCCGTCTCCGCCTCCAGGCGTCGCCGCGGCCCCGCCCAGTCCCTGCCGCGGAGGTTCACGGGACACGTAGTACGTCGCGCCCACCTTCTCTCACCCTCCCCCTTCCCCTGAGCTGCGACTTCCCGAACGCCCTCCCAGCTCCCCAGGGCCTGACTTCCGGTTTACTCGCGCCGCCCACTCGTCGAGCTCCCGGACAGCGGAAGTCCCTTCTCCGGCGGCGCGCTGTTCGTCCTTCCGCCGGGCTCCGCGGCAGAATTAAGGGGCCGCGGCGCGGTCGAGCCGCGCGATGTACCCAGCCACTGACTAGGCCGGCGCGGGAGGGCCTGGGGGTCGCGCGCGTGTTGTTGGGTAACGGGCCTTCTCCGGCGACTGCTTGCCTCTCCTTCCAGAACTTTCTGGGCCTCAGGTAACTGGCAGGGCCGCGCCGGTGCAGTCGTAGCCGAGGTAAAAGAAATGGGAATCCCTCCGCGCCGTCCCCGGAGCGGCTGCCGGCGCTGGGGAAGCGGCGGTGTCTTCGAGGAAACCGGAAGCCCGTGGTGACCCCCTGGCGACCCGGTTTGTTTTCCGTGCGTTTGCAAACACTGAGGAATCGAAACTCGGCGGCTCTGGGGACGGCCCTGCGTAGCCTGTCTTCTGGGTGAGTGATTCGCTATGACCGGGGAGGGGTGCGGGCAATATTGGGACCAACCGTCGCTTCTGTTGCTGGCCTGAAGAGACACGTCTTTTTTGCCCACAGATCCCCGCTCCCCTGACGAGGGGAACGCCCGCCCCTGGGCACCCTCTATACCTCTGTCACCCCCTTTGGGGGGCCTTCACCTCACTTCTCCCGATTGCTCGTTTTCTTTCCGTACTGTTATTTGCTGGAGCGCTTTCATTTTTATTCCTTGAGACAGCATTTATATCGGAAAGGAAAGAGGGACCGTGTTGCTATTTCGCTACTTTCTTGGTTCTCCAAGCAGTGGACTTCAACCCAACTCCATACTTTACCAGGCGCGAACAGTAGGTACCCTCCGTTCTCCAGCGTCTAACCTGTATGATCTTGGGGTTTTTTGATCGTTGGTCTAGAGGTTACTCTATGCAAGGTAGACTTAGACCCTACAGGCAAGGAACTCAGTCAAGTACCACAAGGTGTAGAAAAAGCTCACGAGAACGATGACACAAGTGCAATCTTGCATTGATAATACTACAGGGTGTTGGAAATGTACACGAACGATCGAGGACACTGATGGCCTAGGATAGAAACTGACCTCCGAATCACAGAAGTTTCTTTTTCTCTGGAAATTTAAATGGGATTGAGCAAGATCTCGAGGCGACTTTTAATTTCGGTTCTCAAAGCAAGCCCTGTCACCCAACTCGTGAGCACTGCCGACATTTGTAAATTAGGAACTCTGCATTCCTCACAATCGTTCATAAATTATGTTTGTAAAATGGGAAATTGTTTAGAAATGCAAAGTTTTAATTCTAAAATGTAGCTACAGTAGCATGGGAAATGCATTGGATTGTCAGGACATTAACAATCAGTAAGAGTGCTGAATTTTGCTCCTTTTCGCTTGACACTGTCTAAAGAGACTAACTCTTTATTTCACCACTCTGAAATGGGAGTGGTGCTTCCTCCAAGACACCGAGTTTGCTAGTCTTCAGTCAACTCTAACGTTTGCTGTCTTAAGTTCCCCACTTTGCCCCTCTCAATAGCCTTATGTAGACTTAATGATTATGAAGAGCAAATGAGACAGCTTCCTAAAAGCAAAACACACAATCTGGCATGCCATGAACAGTGGGCAAATATTAATTACCAACACAGTACATAGTTACCAGTGTGAAGTTTTTTCATAATCCAAGAAGTAATAGAACCAATGCAAAATTAAATTAAGGTACTTAGATTTTGCATTGGAGTACAATTGTTTTGTCACTGTTTGGAAACAATTATTGATCATACCAGGAACACTTTGTGTAAAAAAAGGCTCTCAGTTGCATTGAAATATATTGCTTTATAAAAACAGTAGACTTGCCATAACCACGCCAACCCCGAAAAAGCCACACACTCTGATTTCTTTAAAGGCCATCGAACAATAAACATGGAGTTATTCATACTGTATTCTAATGCTGAATAGAGTTTGGGCATTCATTAAATTATAAGGTATTGCAGTCCTGAAGTACAGTGACAGTATCTTGGGGACAAAAGGTACTGAACACCCTTTCCTTTTAAACTAGTGACATTGTTCCTGCTCTTACTTTTGTGAAAAATAGTGAAAGAGGAGTAAATGTTGGTCTGTCTACCACCATAAGCTATCATCCTTGCTTCATAGTGTCTTGACTATCTTATGTATGCAGTGGGTACAGTAATACCGGTTTTTCAGAAGTAGAAAGATGATCATGAAGCAATCAATGTAGAATTAAAGAGTTTACCAAATATGTCTTGACTCAAACCCTAGATCTGTTACATCCTGCTAGTGTGAGTACAAGCAAATTTACCACACACCTCTGAGCCTTAAGTTTCCTCATTTGTGCTGGGAAGATACCTGTCTGGTCAAGGTTGGTGTGGACTTATGGTATGTACTCTTACTCAGCTCCTGGTAAAAACATCAATTTCTCTTTGTCTGTCTAGGTTGCCATTGTCTATTATGATTAAAATTATGGCCTCATAACTTAAGGAGATGTTACCTTGTGATATAGTTCAACCTTGTAGATTTATTGGGGAAAATTTTACACACAGAGGTCAACTATTAGTAATTAAGGTGGCAGATTATAGGCTGGAATCCCTGTTTCTGAGTATGGGGGCCATGTTCCACCAATGAGTTCTGCCTTACCCAGATTCTTCTTGCAAAAATTAGAATTCCATTGTCTTTAGAAGATAGTATTAAGAGCACAAAGTATGGAAGATATCTCAGCTTTGTTGATCATTACTGACAGAGCTGTAGGTAATGTGTTTAACTTTTTAAGATTTTGTTTATAAATTAGGTAACAGTAGTTGTAAAATACAGGAAAAAGCTTTGGGAAGCACTAGTCCTTGCCTAGGTAAGTGAGTGATAAATGATAGATAATATGAAGGTGAACCATGACAGACTAACCATCATCTATTCCTAGGGGGAAAAAAAAAATCTGATAGCATAACATCATCCCAGGCTTCCTAGTATCTCATACCATAGTGTATGCATAGCATATCTTAGGTTAGGCACTTTTCAATGTGGACTATAGCAAAAAAAATGGAAATTTAAGATCTTCTAAAATAATGTTGATTAAGAAGGCATAGATCAAATATTGTGAGTTATTCTAGATCACTGCAAGAAAGCTTATAATACATTAAATCCAGTCAAATGTTTTTGTCATATGAAAGTAATATTTATACTATATTGTAGTCTATTAGTGTCAGCATTTTGTATAAAATAATTTACATATCCTGATTAAAAATGCTGGCCATCATCTGAGCCTTCAGAGTTGTAATCTTTTTGCTAGTAGAGAGACTTTAAGCAACATCTTCAAACATGGTAAGATGAAAAAAACAGGTTTGCTAGGGGCCCTCCCTGGTGGCGCAGCGGGTTAAAGCACAGAATTGAGAATCTAAAGCCACTTCGGCATGATTTCGATTTCCCGCCTGCCCGGAGGACCACATGGTGTGGCAGACCTCTCCTGGCCCGCCTGCTGCTCCCCTCTGCAGTGTACTTGGTCTATCTGCCTGTTCTGTTCCCCACGCTGTCTCTGGTGAAGCCTCTCACCGCCAGAGCCTCTGGCCTGTACCCCACTTCTGTATACATGAATAAATAAATCTTAAAAAAACAAAATAACAGGCTTGCTAGTATGATGGAATTTTTCTTTATGTCACTCCCCTAGCCTCAGACTGCTGTTCTCTTTTCTATATACTTTTTCTGGCAAATTCTGCTCTTTCTCCATTATCATTGTGACACTGCAATTTATAAGAAATATATATTTGGTCATCCAGATGAACAAAATATATTTCTCATATATATGTGGCTAACTCCCCAAACCTTTGCAATTCCCAAGCAGTAAGAGCAGTAGAGCATCTTTTATAATTTTTAGTCTCATGTTGGCCTTTTGTCATCAGTTCCTGAAATTCCTTCTGAACCATGAAGATGAAATAGGTGTCTTACTCAGAACAAGCCCCTTTCCATCACCACTGACCTTATGACCGTGAGATTCCTATCTTTGTCAGATACAACTCTAGGTCATCTCCAGTTTCTTAAGAATGTTCTTGAAAAAGATTTCTTTTGTGGCACATCCCCATAGAATTATTTCTTAATTGAAAGAACCCCACTTCATTTTGTCTTTCGTTAGTCTTGACACTTGTTTGGTTTTAAAAGCAAATGTTATTCTTGCTGAACTATTTAAAATACTGTCTCGTTTTTTGACAGTTCTAATCTTAGAAATAATATTTCATTCAAAGTGCTCCTTTTTTAAGCACAAAGTAGATCAAATATTAAGAAGGCATAGATCAAATATTGTGATCTATGCCTTAATATTAATATTAATATTGCTTGTTTTTTAAGTTACGCTAAATAAACTTAGAGACAGAGCATGTTTTCACAAATACTGAAATAATAAAGCTAGTTTCATGTAGTGATGAGGTTAGTAATAATTAGGCTTTTATTGTTATCCAGAATATCAAACATCTGAGACCAAATACTTCGTTACCTATGAAGAGGCATTTTCATTACAACAAAATTATATAAAACTAAATTTTAATGTACTATAAAGCCAACACTGCAGCTCCTGTTACAGAAATAAGGTTGAAGAAAGATAATTGCATAAACAGTAAAACCAAAAGCTGCCTTGTTACTTTGTTACTAGTTTCCTTTAATTATTCTGATAAATACAATGTGATATTGACACTATTTGGTACCTTTCTATGATATTTTTTCTGACCCTGTAGCTTTTAATCTCTGGAAGTCTACTTTGTACAGAGTGTTAACATCATAAATATTAACATTTCTAATACATAACTCATTTTGTAAGGATACTAAAATTTTCATTTTACAACAAATTTAAATGATAGTTATTTTAAAATTATGTGT